ATAGAGGACACTGGGCTAGAAGCATCTTTGCTGTGACTTAAAATGCTCGTTCTTACGTCCTCACAGCTTTTATCATTAGAAAGCTTTTCTGAACTAACTTGATTATTTTGTGCTGAAATTCTGGCCTGCTGTTTGTTCTGTCTGGTATGTACATGGAGAACCAGTTGTCCCTTCTTTAAAACTTTTACCTATAGTTTTAGGTAATTATGCCCCATCTCATCAGCTCCTTCTTAGGCTCCACTTGTTTAATCTGTGCCCTAAAATCCTATTTGTAGACTCCTTTTCTCAGTGCTCTCCCCAAGCTCTTCCTAACCACCTTAGCAGCCCGCGTGTCTTTAAAATGTGGTAGCAAAAACTTGGTACAATGTTCTGAGGTGTTGTTAGAAAAATCACTTCATGTATTCTGTAAAGCTGTTTATATGCTTGCGTAAAAGTTGCTTGCATAGCATGTCACTCAGTCATATTCAACGGGGTCCTTTTCCTCGGAAGATCTATAGTGGCTTATTCTCCATCCTCTCTGTGCTGTTAACTGCTCCCCAGCGTTGCAGTGTCGCATCTTATCTGTTCAATGCAATCCTGCTTTTTTTTTTTTGTTGGACAGTTTTTCTTTGGGTGAGAAATTTGTTGGGGCTTTGAGGAGGGTGAGTTGCTTTTTTGTTTCGATTTGGGGTTTTTTGGTTTTTTGCGTTGTTTTGGTTAGACCTGGATTTGTTCACATCCATTGACTTTCCATCGTCTCCATCCTCCTTTTCTTGTCCTCCCGATGTACTTGCATCCCCTCCTGTCTCTGCATTGTCTAGAGGTTGAGTATGTTAATCGGAGTCTAAAAATACACCTCGCGTGTTTGTGCATCACATCCCGACATGTTTTTGTGTGCGGTGATTTTATTGGCTTGTCGTTTGGAGCCCTCTGTTACTGCTCGTAGCATCCCCTCTGGGAATAGAAATCTCTTTGGTAACGATAAAAATTAATCTAACAAAGTTTCTCGACACAGTAGAATTGAACGTGATTTAAAACGGTTTCAAACAGATAAAAAACACGTATTTGCCGTGATGCCAAATTAGTGCTAGGGATTTTAGCAGCAGTGGGTTTTGTGATATAAACCATCCAAGGGTGAAATGAAAAGTGTCTGCGAAGTAGGTTAAGTGCAGTTGCCGGCAGTGCCCGGTAGTGCCCAGCGTGGCGTGCGTCGCTATAATACCCTTGTTTGTTTTCACAAACCGGCGCTTCATCGTTCCTGCGCGAGTGACTGCTGAGCGGGGCCCGTAACCTCTTGATTTCAAAGGAGCCATCGTGTTTCAGTGGTGCCGCTGTGGTTAATGCAAGAAAGGTGTCTTGCCATAAACTTTTCCGAGGTATTCGGCGAGGTTGGAAAGGGGTCGGCCCAAGCAGGAAGCCCTTGTCTGCGCTGTAAAGAAAATAGCGAGTAACAAAATGAAAGCATCAAAGAGCCAACAGGATGCGGTCCCCCGAGTCCTCTCTGGCATGCGAGTCCCTCTTGAAAGTCAGCATTGAGTGAAGGGTGACCTTAAAACTCACTTCATTCAAACAGCCTGAGCTCAAGTTTAAAGTTCAAGGCATTTTGTTTTTTCACCTGTTTCCTACAGTTTTAAGAAACTTCTGAAGAATTAATGTGTAACTATATCTGGTCACTGAGCCAACACTGAGAATTTTTCTCAAGGGAAAATAATGTTACTGTATAGAGACAGAGAAACGGATACTTTGAGTCGCAAGAAAATGTTTCGGCCAAATAAAACCCAAAACCGCTGTTACTGCAATCGTAAACATCCCTGGGGCCAGCATGCTGTTTAGTATTTTATTTTTAAAAGAAGCCTGTAGGATCCAATAATTGTCTGAATCATAGGGATGTTTTTATTTATTTATTTTTAAAGGGTATTTATTATTGATGCTGCTGCTGTTGGGGAAATGAGGCAGAGGTCTTGCTGTTGGCACAACCTGGGAACAAAGAGCCTGACTGGGACGGTTCAGTTTCATCTGCAATTACATGTTGACTAAGGCAGCGTTTAGTAATTGGTCTCCTGGCCATCGCTTTCTCGCCGTACTCGAATTGTTAGATAGCAAGAAAAAAAGTAAATAACTAAAACGCTGTCTTAGACAAGGGCAGGCGTGAAGACAGCGGTTAAACCTTGGTGCCGCTCGTCGCGAGCTCCAGCCCGGGGTGCTGCCTAGCGTCGCCTGCGAACGACTTGTAGCGTAACCCAGCAGCGCGTTCTCGCTCCGTGATCCTAAAACAGCTGTTTTATTTTCTAATCTTAAATCTTGCCTAACAAAGTGACTGGTAATAGCTTCCACCAGCGGGTTGGACGGGTCACCTTTCATCGTTAAAAGAAATAGTTTGAAAAGATGACATACAGATTTCACTCGCGTTTCCCCATGTCGTTAAATTTTAATGATCGTGGTATGAATATTTCATGAAAGTACCTTTTGAATGGGTTTGTTTTGTCCTGGCAGCTAATACACAGTATAGAGCCTGATGATTTTTTTTTTTTCTTTTTTTCCTTCCCTCCCCATAAGGTAGTTTAGTGTAGGTATGAGGTGTCAAAGTGGATTAAGGGAGAGAAGGCTACTTTCGGTGTCGCTGTTGATTATTCGGTGAAGGTATGCCGTGCTATCTGGAGCTGTTTGCAGCTGCCCAGGGAAAGCCATTGAAAAGAAGACCTGAAGATTAAATTCTGCTCTTTACTGTCCTGCCACAAGGTGGCTGAAAATGTTTTTAAAGCACACAAAATGTGAATGCTGCAAATTATGCTAATGTGTGTAACAGTTTTTCTAGAATGCAATATGCAGCACACAGAAGACAGGATTTATTACCTAGAAAATTGTATAAGTTGTGTTTGTAGGCCAGTACATTCAGAAAATGTTTTTATCAAATTTATTTCAGTCACTTCTCAACGGGGGTTGTAGCGGCTGTGGGCTTGTTATTGTTTTTTAACAAAACAAGAAGCCAACGTACGCAGTTTATCCTGGGTGAACAGTAAGACCAGTTGTAGAAGGAAGTTACTGTAAAGTTACAGTGGGAAGCTTAGCTGCCAGTCTTTTTTTTAAGTCTCGATTTTTGAAGTACTGCAAATCGAAGACTTGTAAGACGCTGTTTATGCATAAACAGTGACTGAAACGTCAGATTCCTAGTTATTTCCATTTATACTGCTTGGTTGGTGAATTCATTTACTTAAATGTTAATACAAAAACACCTATCCAACCCAGGGTTAGCAATTTTTTTTCGACTATGCTGGCCCTGCAGTTGGGTGACCTATGTATTTCTTTAAATCGGTGTTAATCAAATGTTTCCAAATAGCCAGATACTGTATAATAAGAAACATGTACTTAATTTTTGGCAGTTTTGGTAGTTGTAACACTTTTCCCTCAAACTTTTCCAAAGCTGATCTTTAGATATACAGTAAGGATTCGTCTTTTGTTTAATGGAAATGAAGCATGTATTTTCTTACAGATGCACCACTTGCTATTGAGCTTTTTATGTGCGTTTTAGGTTTCCCTTTTTATTTTTTAACTTATTAACTCTGACAAGTAACCTCTTGGTTGTGAACAATTTAATTCACAATTCATTTTTCTGATTCAAAGTGAACACGAGTGCCCTAATCCCCTAATGGGAATTAATTGCATGTTTCAGTGCTTAACTCTGATCCTTTCTCAATCCCCACTGGGAGAAGTTTCTTCCTGAAGGATCTGTGTTTGTTATTCAAAACACAATCTGAAAGGTAATGATTTTTCTTATAAAAGGGAGTCAGGCCAACTGAATATTAATGTTCTTTTTATTGTGAGGGAATGAGCTGCATCCAAAAAACTCATTTATGTCATGAAGGATAAATTATGCTGAAGTATATCTAATAAAATAGAGACAAAAAATCAGTGTAGCCTTTTTCCTTAAGTGAAAGCTGTTTGCCAGCAAATAAAGGCATACACAATTTTTGCTTCGAAATCTGTATTCTCTTACAGTAAGAGACAAATTGTTCATTTCACCAAGGGGGAAATTGCTCTGCTACTGGTTAAAAGGCATGATTATTTAAATGACAACTCTTCTCGACCAGTAATGCACCCTTTTGGATAATCTAGCTGGTCTAACCGTTTACTAAAATAAGAGCAATTAGCAGAAAACTTGTTAATTTTCTACTTCCACTCTGTTTTTAAGGCTGTTCCAAACTATCCCCACGCCGTTTCATAACCCTCTCTCGGAAAGGAGTTGCTCGTGCTCCTCTGATGCTCAGTGGCTGGCAGTGAGCTGCCAAACTGCTGCACGGGGTGAAACTGAGACGGTCTCTGAACAGCTTAGGGACTGATGGCAACGTTTGGAAAACCATCAAACAGTGCAAAACTGCTTTTATTACACAGAAACAGTGGGGGATGAGCAGGGGGTAGCATCAAAAATAACTGAGGAACTAGGAAGGCATTTCCCCCCCACCCCGTCTTTTAGTAAAGCAGCTCTTTTTCTGCTATATAAACCACTCTTGAGTGTTTTATGCTCACAATTAAAAGACGGAGTTGTCCGTGGTCGCTTCGTTCCCAAGAGAGGGCCAGCGCGTGTATGAAGCGGCTACTTTGGGCCCAAAGTGGTTTAGCAGAACATCACGCATTTCGGGTATTTGACAAGGAGCTGAAGAGCTGTATTTCACCTGGCCTTGCTGCCAACACACGTGGTCTTCAGTGTTGTTAACGCTGAAGTACAGGTTCCCCCTGCTCTCCGAGATAAATGGAAATAATATTTGTCCTATTCACTCAGACAGGAAGGGTGAGCGTGCTCACGAAGACCATGTCGTCTGGCCTTATCAGCTCTGTAAATTAGGTTTGTCAGCTAGGAGTTATTAAAAGCACAGAAGGGAACTGTTGTTGGGGTTTTTTGTGTGTGTGTTTTTCCCTGACCGAGTAGGACAAACGTGTCCTTGTGCTTGTGACGGCAGCTTTCAAATAGCACTGACCCAGTGTGGATGTGCGTGCTGTCGGCCGCCCCCACCTCTTCCGCCCCCCAGGCCCACGAGAAGCTGATATTTAGCTTTACTTCTCGTCTGGGAGTCAGCGCCTGGGACCTTCACGCCAAAGCTACAGGAAACCCCTCGGCCTCTTCCATCGACCAACTCGACCAACGCCAGGCTAAATGTCCTCGCATACCTCCTTTTGCAGCACCGTGTTTGTTTTTTAAGGTCTGGGGTAAAGCCTTTTCATTCCTCTTAATGACAGTTCCTCTGTCTTGGTGATGTCCCAGTTTATGCATAGTTAGTTGCTGCAGCTGCAAGCATCGTGTTTCTTGCTTTTTTTTCTTCTTGCTTTTTTTTAACGTTGTGACCAAGCTGTACTATTACATGAAAAAATACCGTCATTCAAATGCTGCCATCATGTATCATAACGTGACTGGAAGTCTGGATGCTTTAATCTGCTTTCGAATGATTAATGCTTTATTATATATTATGTGTTTTATTATACCATGGAACAACTAGATGCTCAAATTTCCAAACTGAACTGAAGCTCTTCTATTATTGATTAATGTGGTTTCTCAAACGTTGAATACTGCTACGTATAGGTGACAGTGAATAGAAGAGTGAGGTAACTAGGCCCTTTTCCCGGATTGCGTTGGACAGCACCCTCGTGGCTACAGCGCCCAGTGCTCCTGGGCTGGTGCTTGACCAAATGTATCAGGGCAGACTATTAAAAAAAAAAAAAAAAAACCCTCCAAAGGAACAAAATAAAATGACACCGTGGCTGCACTTCTGCAAATTGCAAAAACTAGACTCAATAGGGGTAGTTAAACCCTAAATGCAGTAGACCAACATAATAAATTTACTGCTTAACTAAACTGAACCATGTTTTTTTTGTTCTTTTTTTTTCGTAGAGGATGTGCTAATTCGAGCTTGTTTCCATCACTGGGATGGCTCCTGGGTTGCTTGTGGTTTGTCGCTAAGCACGATGCCATGCTAACTGCAGCAAGGCTCCTATAATCATGAGAAAGAGACAATCAAGAAAGGCTCTAGTTTTACTCGGGCTCAGAACTGCACTGGCTAATGTTGTAGATGCTGTAGAGAAACAATGGGATATAATTTGATTTCGGCAAAGAATTACAAGAGTGACCTTCCCCTGATGTCTCCTTACAGTTTTTTTTATTCAACGGTTTTAAAAGATACTCAAATTTAATATGTTTTCTAAACATCATAATGTAGAACTAGAGACCAGCTTTGCATGCGCCCTTCCAGTTTTGCATGCGTGAGATGGGTTTGTGTGCACGCATGCCTTTCTGCAGTGAACTTTCAGCTAAGAGCGTTTGCCAGCACAGTTGTGCGTAACGTGGGTGTAACGTGTGCCTTTGTCCCCTCTGCAGGTGCGATGGCTCGCATCTTCGTGTACGGCACGCTTAAGCAGGGCCAGCCCAACTACCAGCACATGCTCAACACTGCCAAGGGCATCGCAAAATTCCAAGGACGGGGACGCACCGTGGAGAAATACCCGCTGGTGATCGCCGGAAAATATAACATTCCTTATATGCTGAACATCCCGGGCACGGGACACCACGTTGCTGGAGAGATTTATTCCGTCGACGACCAGATGCTGCAATTCCTCGATGAATTTGAAGGCTGCCCGAACATGTATCAGCGTACCCCGATGAGCATCGAAGTGGTGGAGTGGGAAGGGAAAAGCAGCGTACCTGGCGAGAGGCCAGCCGCGCACAGCATCATGGAGTGCTTCGTGTACAGCACGACCACCTACCAGCCCGAGTGGGTAAATCTCCCGTACTATGACAATTACGATTCCTCGGGGAAACACGGCCTTTCTTACGTGCTACGGGAAAGTCGAGATTAGACACGGAAGATCACACAGCAGTGGCAAGACGGAGCACTGCGCACATGTCGATCGGAAGCCTTTCCAGGAAATCTGTAATGCCTTTTGGTTAAAACACACATTCTTTTGTAACCTTCCAAGCACAAAAATATTGATTTTTTTTTTTAATGTTAAAGTGTTATAGGCATAGCAACTGGAACTCACCCCAAACTGGTAAAAATCCTGCTAGCCCACTAACCTGATGTGAATAACTGGTTTTGCTTGATGAGTAGAATAACTGGATCTGTGCGCATCAGTCTTGGGGGTTAGGTTTTTTTTTTCTCCACCCCCCCCTTTGCCTCAGTAAATGGCTGAGGTAAATGAGAGGCAGTTGAACTGACTGCCTTTTGACCTGAATTGGTAAATTTTCGTGCGTGGTCTCTAAGGTGGGTGGAACAATAATACTATTGCACTAATAGCTAAAACTGATTAAAAATCACGTCTGAAAACAAAGTAAAGCAGACCTCACACTTAATATTGACTTGTTATAGTGTTTATTAGGTTACTGAATGTAAACAGGGGCAAGCAAACATCTCTTGAGCAGAAATGACTGCATAGATATTATGTGCTTCACGAAAAATCTGCAATTACTGTAGAAATAGTGGAGACAAAAGACTGTTCTTACTCTATGTTGTAATGTTATTCTGACAAGGAGATGACTATTTTTAAAACATTTTTAGTTTTATAAGGTACTTTGAAGAAATATTCATAATATAAGAGAATTACATTTAAAATCATATTTTTTTAATTTAGCATCATAGCACTTTAGCTACCTTTACAGTTCACTGAGTAACTGTGGGACTTGGGGAGCAAAAAAAAAAAAAAAAAAAAAGAGAGAGAGAAAAAAAATGAAAAAGAAAAAAAAAAGAAAAAACAGACCTGATTTTAGCTGCCTGCTGCATGACAGCAGATGCAGCTGTTGTGAGTGCTTATTATCAAGGTGACTTTTAGCCAAGCACTTTAGTGCAGAACTTGCAACCATATGCAAACTAAATTTCCTATTGAGGGGAAGATTTTTATAGACTTTATTAAAATTATCCAGAGGACCTGTTTTAAGATTATTACAATATTTACAGTAAAAAAAAACTACAGAGAGAAGACTCTTGCCTTGGACCCCCCCACTACCCCTGCTTGTCTCTGCACTAGCTGGGAAAATCATGTTTTTTCTTCTGCTACCCTACTATGCCTTATATTTTCTTCAACTGTAACGTTTGGTACGTATGTATCATACAATATACAAAGCTGCCCAAAGGGCAAGGGTGTGGAATGTATTCCATGGAGTGAGCTAAAGTACACTTAAAGGTACTAAGGATACAGTTAAGATAATGTTGTACTTCTGCTTCCTCGGCGGTAGCTCTGTGATGCCTGTGGCAGATCAGCGCAGTGATCAAGGGTAGAGTGTCAACCTAAACTTACTAGTAATAGACACTACCGCATCTCACTTAGGGGGGGAAAAAAGGCAGAAGGCTAATTTTTGTGTAGTAGGCCAACTGAACAATTTAAAAATAGAATACTTCTCTCATATTTTCGTAGTATTTTTCTTTTAAGTTTAGGACAACCTGCAGAATCTGAAAGGTGTTCCTTTTAAAAGTGGCAAGGGAAATTCATGGTAATGTCTGCAGGGTCTCTGCCTCACTTTCTCTAACTGCAAAAGCATTAACTTTCCTGGCAGTCAGGTACTACCAAAACACTCTACTTGCTCATTTTGATGGATTTTGTAAGCTAGTTAATAAAGTAGATGCCCGTGCTGCATTACCTCCCCCTTGAGCTTGTGATTTAATCATCAACATCTCTAATAACGTGGAAAATGCCTCTTCAATCAACTGTTTCAAGCACAATGAACCTCTGTGTTTGAAAAATGAGTGACCAGCCCTGCCATGGCTTTCCCTTCCCCCAACCCTTCACTTTCTGGTGAAGGGTCCCGGTGTCGCTGGCTGGAGAGATTCTTTTTTTTTTTCCCAGGTATTAGCATGAACCCGCAGCTCCCAGGTGAGAAAATGATAGCAAACTGCCTCCTCTCTGAGCTAGCACTAAAAGCAAAGCAGGAGGGCTCACTTGCCTATATAATCAGGCAACCACGTTTAGAGTAGCATGCCACAACATCCCATGGCAGTAAGTTCCTCAGAGGAAAGAAAGAAAAAAAAACATTCATCTGTTCTGACCATGTCTCCGGGTAATAAGAACGCAGAGGATCCAGGGACAGGAGTGTATCTGAAGTACCAGCCATGCCTGAGAACCTCTGCAAGGCTCCTAAAGCCGGAGAGCCAAGCCTAGCTAGAAAGACTTGCACATGAAATATGGTTACTTCCCAGGCAGTATCTACCAATTTTCTAACCATTAGGTAGAAGGGAATATTAAGATTCTGGCTAAAGAAATTGGACATTGGCATATGGCAAATGATGACTGTCTGTGGGATGATTCTGGGCAGATTTAGATTTGTTTTCCATAATGACTGTTCAAAGGGCCCAACATCACTAGCCAGCCTGGTGCTGTAGTATCATGCATGAGGGTATAAGACAGACATGATGGGTCTTTCAGCTTTGTAGGAACCAAAACTTAATAACTAAAAAAAATACATATATATAGCTTTACAGCCTAGGAATGGATCAGCAGCTCTTCTTTTATGATGGAGGCCTGCCAGTTTTTAACAATACAGATATCAATAGCATTTCTGAGCCTACTAATGCAAAAAAAAGAAAGAAAGAAAGAAAGAAAGAAAAAAACCAAACCACCAGCCCTCTCACTTCTGTTCACACCCCTTAAATAGTCCTCCTCTCCAGGGCCTGATTTTTCCATATTGTATATGAGCTTTTCCAGCAGGAGCTAATCATTAGGAACAGTTCTTGTTCTTCACAGAGGCTCAATATAGTTTGGCAAGACGCTCTGCACAACATACGATCAGAAGCTCAGGTGTTCCTTTCCCTTACGTGTTTAGGAGGCAGCAGTATGCTGGGCCTGAGGGAAAGGAAGCACCTCTAGCAATATTGGGGGGAGTGGGGGGTTAAGGGGATTCAAGGACTGCACCAGCTACTTAAGGAAGAACTTGCCTCCAGTAATCAACAGAAATAAAATTACTAACCAGCAATTTAAATCCAGCCCATACAAAGGTTTTAAAACATTACAATAAATCTGAGCAGCATTCAAGCCTTTGGCAGTAATTGTTCAATGCTGACACAGAGTAAAGGAAAACTGCTCGGTTCATTCACTGGTTGATTTTTTTCACTCTTGCCATCCATTCTGTACAACTTGGTTGGTATCTCAAACCAATGATATTACCATGGATGAATCATATTTGGGGTTTGGTTGTGTTTGCTTTCTAAAAAAGAGGCTTTTCCTGTTTTAAAGCAGAAAGAGTATTTTTATTGATTTTTATTTGATCTTGAAAAAAAAAAAACCACAGGAGAATTACAAAGGTTATGTACAAGTATTTCTAAAGTAAAAATCTGGGATCTGTTGCCAAGGTTTAACATCTGTGTTTGCTGTCTTAACCACTGACACAATAAATATGACCATATAAAATCTTGCGCTTAGGACTGTCGATTTTCTGTTTTGTATTGCCTTAATTTTACACTATGGCTGGAAATAAAGGTTTAGCTCATTCGGCAGTGTGAAGGCAACATTTCATTCCAGTTCCACCAGCAGATCTCCTTCTCCAACAGTATCACCAGCTTTGCAGTGAACAGCTTTCACCTGCAGCACAGAAACAGAAATAATTTCAAATTGTCTTCAATCGCATAAATACACATTTTGGCTGACAGTGCATATCTACAGCATCATGTCTGCATGTACAAGGCACACACAGGATAAATGACCGCTATACCACACTGGAAGGGGCCGGCAGCGGACGCAGCCTGCCCTCTGCTCAGGGCAGCTGAGTTTGGGGCATCCCCGAGGACAGAGACGCCACAGCTGGCTCCAGGGTGGAGCAAATCATGCCCGGAGCTCCACCGCGCTCCATCAAGGTATACAGGCACCTACCACTTGCTGTTTTTCTTATGACTTTGGTGCTTGAAGGTCTGAAGGTCAAATTTGAGAAAGGCATTTAAAAGTTAAAAAGCACCTTTCGTCCACCTGTTTGCCCTATTGGTCACTTACTACTAATATCTTAAATCTTTTAGAAGACAGTCTGAGTACTGAACATTCACATGCGTACTTTTCAAAGAAATGGGCAATGAAAAATCCCAGTATTTCTTCCATTGCACATTTTAAATATAACTGAATGTTGGGATTGCAGCAGTGAAGCTGGGTTTTCCTCAGTTCTCACACAGCTGAAATTAAAGGATCCAAATTAAGATTTGAATCAATGATGTCACTGAAAATACAGGAATAAGGTGACAGTTTCTGCAAACAGCAGCCATAATACCTTAACTCTCTCAAAGACTGAAGTGAAGAAGAATAATTTGGAACATCACGGGCCATTAGTTCTTCCTAAAGCATACTTTTAGTAAAATAAAACAGTGATGAGAGTGGCAAAGAGCTATAATTGTCAAACACAACTGCCTCTGTAGATGAAATCTACACTCACCTAAAGCCTCCTGAATTTTAAAAACATACACTTGTCCCACAGTTCCTCTATAAAAGGCTGTAATATGTAAAGTCCTTTCTAGCACATGAAGCACCAGAAAAAAATAGCTGAAGCTCTATATTAGAGTTTGCTTGCAGTGCAACCCAAAGCTCATATAAACATACCCAAATAGTTAAAACCACATTCAGCAGTTACCTCAGGTTAGTCATTCAAATGTCACCCTAGGCTCCTAAGGGCGATCTGAAGCCAACCCTAAATATCAGGCTACTATGGCTACACTATGACCCATCTCTGAGCTAGGTAGGCTAAAGCCACGTGAGCTGTAAGCATAACTTTGGCTCTGTGGCATAGACATATTCATAGCATTGTCAAGAAAATGAAGCTTAATGCTCTACACAGGCAAAAACACAAGTCTGAAGTACAAAAAAAGAGCTTTATTTCTAAGTCAACGTCTTTGCAGCCTACCAGATTCCTCAGTCCCAATCTTTTGAGATGAAAGCAGCGTGAAAAATACTACTTTTCTTTTTATACAAAGCCAAGGTTCAGCAAACAGTACCTCACTAGTATTCTAAACTCCCCAGTGATTTTTGAAATGTGATTTTTGAAATGTACTGGCAGCCAGTGTGGCCAGCTCCTCTTTCTGACCCACGTCCAGCTGTCCCCTAAGAGCAAGGAGGCAGTCAAGTCGCTCTCCATCTTTTACTCATTTTTAAACCATCTGCAACTGGAGTAAATTCAAAGCAGATAAAAACAAGGCACTTTTCTCTTTTCTCACAATTACAAATAGGAAGATGGAGTTTGATGCAGAAAAGGAATTCAGAGGGGGAATGAAAATGGAACATCTTCCAGCTGAAGACAAATGACCTGAGTTATGAAACATAGCTTCAAAGCACAAAACCGTGGACCAGCAGCCAGTGCCAAACATCCCATCCCTGCAGAGCAGTCGGGTTATATTAGCACTGGGAGCCATAACTTTGTAATGCAGAATGGGATGACTTCTGGTTATCATTGGCTTCATTTCTACCCACCCCAAAACTACTTTGCTTTTTTCAATTCTTAAAATTCTAAAGAATCACATCAGCTTATTGTCAAACTGGAGACATCGTAAGGCACACATCAGGCCCACTGACAGGCCCATGCACCTTTCAAAATCTGTTTTAATAGAAGCACCATCTAAGGCAAATGTGGTTTCTATGATGTGGCATCTGTATGGAAGGAGTGGGAGATATTTATTATTCGGAAAGCGCAAGGAGGTTTCAAAGGGACAGGCTCATGGGTTGCCGCACACCTTGGTGGGAAAGGGGAGGTTAAAGTAAAAGAAAAGTGGGGTGGGGGGGTACTGGCATTTTAATAGCAAATGCTTACTAGTTAAAAATGGTGAATGCATAGAGCAGCAATAAGGAGGTTTAAAAAAAAGCAAGAAAAGATGAAAATAAATAAATGCTAGCAAATATTACTCAAATGAGAAAATAAAATATAAAGGAATTAATGCACGAAGGAAAATAATAAAGTGTCAATGTTACAGCCACAGGAGAAGGTATGTTCTTTCTCTGAGACTGTTTTTCCTCAAGACCCAATTTTGCGTTAGATGCACTGGAAGAGGCAAGCCCCGAGTCCCAGCCTCAATGACGATTTCAGTACTGTGCCAAATAATCCTTTCTTGTAAACACACAAACAGTCCTTGGCATAGAGACCAATCTTCAGATCTCAGCAAATCTTGCCAACGACTAACCTAGTCTCTGACCTAGCGAGGCTGGCTCCTTGCTGCCTCCCTCTGGGCTAATGAATCTCGCACTGGTTTTTAACAAAATGGTGCTTCAGTGAGAGCAGAGGGTTCGGTCCCCAGCCAGAAAAGGGGTTAAGACATACTAGGAAAAGCAAGAGAAGGGAGAATATATAATCCATATCTTTGGCGAGGACTCCAGCCGATGACGCCTCAAGAAGGACTCTCTGCTCTTCCTTTGAAAAGGAGGAGCTCGGCACCTATTTGAGGCGAGTGTTTCAGGCTGTGAATTGTAATCTGGCACAGGAATGCCCTGAGGCCCTGACTTGGGGGCTGACAGTCCCCAAAACAGATGGGATTTAAGGCACGCCCTTGTCATAAGCGTAACCAGTTCCCTGCTCAGTGCTGGTGATGGTGCATCCTGCACCGCAGCAGGACAGTACCCAGCCCAGGGGCTGCAACGGTGATCCCTTGCAGCAAGCTATCACAGTGCACAGTCTTGCAAAGCTTAATGCATTTGCAGCTCTAGGCTTCATATTTAACAGTCACAATAATCAAAAAATTGCTCTTCTCATCTTCCTGCAGAAACACTTTCTGCGCCTTGCTCTGAGTGTTTTTATAATGGCAAATTATCTGTCAGTAGTGAATTAACTGGCATAGAGCTCTCTCTCCATCAGTTGCTCTCTGAAAACATGGAATTCGGAGAAATGGGCTGCAACATCTTCAGGCTTTCAATTCAGCTTGGCATTGTAGCATCACAGAAAACAAATCATTTCAGAGAAAAAGAGTTACATAAATTTCTGAAGCCAGTAAAACTATTTCCCGCTGTGCTATCCAAGGCTCAGAACTATTTAACAGCATTCACAGCAGATGCAAATGTTAAAAATTAAAGACACCTCACTTCAGAAGACTTATAAAAATCACACTTAATTCCCTAACAACCCGAATCTTCTTTTTCTTCCTTTTTAAATTCTATCCTATTTGACAAGTTGCATATGGCTTTAAGTGACCCAAGGTAGCTTACCTTGCCTGTTTTAGCAGCAGTCATACTGTTCTGCATTTTCATTGCTTCAATTACACAAATCTCTTGACCTTCTGCAACCTGATAAAATTAAAGCAGTACAAAATGAGGACAGACGTTTTAAAATGCGCTAAGTGTACATGATTTTTTTCTGTAGAATAAAGGGATTATTTCATTAAATGCTATAAAAAGACTTTTATGGCACATGTAAAGTTTGCCAGCTACACATAATCATGGCACAAATCACAGCATCATTGTTGCTTTTGACGAATCGAAGGTAAAATAGGGAAAAGGAATCACCTACTTAAAAATATCACCCCAATCACACCTGAGAAGTTCCTCTCCTCTCCCATCCCATCTACTCAGCTCCAGCTTTCACAGTTCACATTTCACATCCATCACAGTTCGACATCAATTAATTCCAGACCAAAATTTAACTTGTGCCGTTTCAGCTGCGGAGCCTTTGCTTTGCTTCCCTGGCGCACATCCCACGGATACGAATCCTGATGCAGAAGCCAAAAGTTTCTTGGCACGAGTGCCGGGGAGCACAGCTAGGGGCTCTGACGATACCCCACAGACCAGCACGGAGCAGCAAGTCACACCTTCACACGTGGCAGTAGCTGGACGGCGGCTGGCGCCATCAGACTGCCAGAACGGCGCACGCCTGCGAGGAAACACCAAGTTTTATCCACGGGGGAGGGATCACAGATGGAAAAGGGTAATTTTCACCACAACTGATGGCTCTTAAAGGGAAACACTTAAGATTCGTCTTTCTGCTAGTCTGCGCTCTGCTAACAGGCATGTGCAAGCCCAAGGTCGCGAGCGACCCGCTGCGGCGCTCCGCTGGGCTCACTGCGGCCCTCCCCGGCGCCTTGCAGCACACAGCGCAGAGCAAAAGGCCGCTCGAGGTTTTATGATGTGTCTGAGGGGTTTGCCTACATATGAGGGCGAAAAAAACCCACTTGATTTGCCTACACATGAGGGGAAAAAGCACTTGATTCAGAATCCACCCCTCTTGTAACCCAGCGGTCGCCCAGGCATGCCACGAAGACGGTTTACGGTGCAGACGGAAAGCCACTGGCCCTACATGCCAACATTTAGGACTTGCATAGACATGCTTCTCTGAGACATCTGGCTCCGTGTCCACTGCAATACTTTTCATATGGCTCTTTTGCTGACTTGAAACTCTGCCTTTCTTTTCGTGTCCAAGCAAATTATGGGAAGCTTTCCCTCCGATGCCAAAAAGTTTCATTAAAGAAGCAATTTGAGACCTCTAGAGATCTGGTCTATGCATTGTTATACACGGCGCTTCTCTCAGAATATATTTGCTAATAAATATTTTTTTTCTCTCCAAATACATGTAAAATGAATAATAAATACCTGAGGACAAGAGTAGACAAGTTGGAAGGAATATATCGTCTAACAGACAGGTGTTAAGGCAGAGATCAAATGCGTGCTGTATGAAGCACATCCTGAAAACTTAAATAAAGCTTTTATTCTTAAGTGACCACTAGAAGTAAGCACTTCCCAGCACCAGCACTCTTCTTGGCTAACATTAAGTGTATGTTTTATGCAACGACTGAAAAGCATTGATGCCTGCCTGGATTCTGAACAAGAAAGAAAAAAAAAATTATTAAAAGACACTTATGCACTATTTCTTCAACAGACTGCCAAGAACAATGTGATGGGATTTTTGGAGTATATAAAGCTGTGGGAGCACGGTGTGATAACCGGATACAGAAGAAAAACCAAGATCCAACACTTCAACCGCAGAAATTCCATCCTGAGCATCAGGTGACCGTTTAAATCATTAGCTGTGTCAAGTTTGGTGAAGAGTGTCAAAGACTTGCTCTTTGTGCCGTTATTTCCCTTCTGTCCCACCTCCACCTGCCTTTTGTCCCTGCCCTTCCACACCTGCTGCTCCATCTGAAGCTTTTTTCCAGCAGCTTTTTCTTTCCTTCCTGCTTTTCCCCCTCCCACCGCTCAACTTTTCTTCCATCTGCTCTCAGCTTTCCAGATATTTCTGAGGTCAAGAGGAAGCTACAAACATCTACTTCCATTGAAGAAAAAAGGCAAGCATGTTTTTCCATTTGCATGGCACGTTTCACAAACAAATTCACCTGCCTATGGTTAAACTCGGCCATCAGCACGACAAGAACACGCACCTCTAAAGGCTGCTGAAAACTGAGAAACTGAGGAGTGCGAATCTGCATTTAGTGGCCTAATTTCAAGAGCACAAGAACCTTTTCTCTTGAGCCTCAGTGTGATTCAGTTTACCAAAATCTAAAATGGCTTAATGAGGTGGATGGCATGCAAATTCATCAATTAACAGTTATCTAAAGGGAGTTCTGAAAATATATTTACTGTACAAGTGCTAAGCAGAATCGTCACTGCACACGTCAAGTATGGCAGTAAAAGGCTACTATGTACTAGTGCTGTGGCACGGAAACATCCACAAATTTGAATTTCTCTGTTTCCCACCTTTCTCAAAAGGACTATTTTTGCATTTCATGTAATACCTGCAAGGTTGATGACGAAGGAATTGGTAACTAGGAAGTAAAACCTCCACGGAGCCAGTAAAATACATAGACAAAGTAACCAGTGAACATCTTGTAGTCTTACTAATTGAGAGGGAAGGAGGCACTTTCAGCAGGCCCCCCATGTTAAAGTGCTGTGTCAGTACTTCCGATAATGTGCAATTTGTTGAAACTTGCTTTGGTGGAAGTGTCACTTGAGCACAGAATTTTAATTAGTGTTCTTATGTGAAACCTTTATAGCTCAACTTATTGTGTTGCAAAGCAACAAATCCTAAAATTAGGCACTTGTATCTCTCTCTTTCTCTTTTTCAGTCTTTTGGGCATTGTCCAATTTCTTTCATTATATAATTGCACATATCCTTTTGCCTGTTATTTAGCCTGCAAATGAAAATCGTAGTACAATTTCTTGTTTTCTAACTCATTTAAGGATTTATCCGGACTACTTTTTAAAGTTGTATTTTCTTCATATCATTTATTTCCTGCAGCGGATAGTAAAACAATGCAAACCATCATTTTTACATTTCAGTTTATAGAGAGGTCTCAGTGATGACCTAAATCTGTCAAAGCAGGCAAATAAAAACAAAAAAAAATCTGATTGATTGGAGCCAAGCGAAATAAATGTACCCCTTTTGTTAAAAGAAATAAAACTCAGGTGATCTTTCCCACCGACTTATACTGCTGACAAATCCACCTTTACATTGCTTGGAATATGAAAATAAATGAGCGATTTACTGTCAGACCTGCCCTCTGTATTTTAACAGTTTATTTCTGTGAGGTTCAGTTCAAAGTATCTGTTCGGTTTTGTTCTCCCCAGAGTGAAAAAGAAAAACAAAAAAAGAGAGAAAATCAAAAATCCCATCATTGAAGAGGTGGGTACCTACCATCGTGATGTTGCTAACAATTGCTAACAGGCATGAACTTCGGAGGAGTCAACAGCGCTGTCTGAGGAACTTGGGAACTGCGCGGTGCGTTTTTTATCTACTCTAGACCAAAGATTACGCACCGCGCAGGGACCCTGAAAAGCCGCAAGGCTGACCTGTTTCCATCGCACCTACAGGAGGAGCATGAAGAACGACTGCAGGCACGGAGCTGCCTCCGTAAGACGCCGAGCTACAAGAAGGCAAGGGGCACCTGAGGGCCCCGCTCCGAAGGGATCTCTGCGAATATCGCACACTTTCCCGCAGACTTTTGTGAATCATCTCATGGAGACTTACTGATTGTGACAGGACGTCTTCAACGTCAGGCAAATGCAAAATGGTCCCAAGCCCCGCAAGTCTTTCCGATGAACCCAGTGGGCGCTGATGTACTCCTCCGCTCCCTGTCTAATTGGGGTAAAGTTTGCCGAGCTGAAGCCGAGCACCTTTCATGCGGCTCGCCGCGTCCTCGCCCCTGACACGGGGTCAGGGTGCACATTCGCGTCCGATTAGCAAAGTGGCGCTCATTAAGCGGCGGCCGGCCTCGCGCCCGAAAGGAGCTCGCTCGAAGGGGAGCTCGGCCCATTTACTCAGCAGATTTTAGCATTTTAAGGAGGCCTGCGTGTCACACAGTATTGCGCCGTTTTGAGGAGTTTCAGACATCTCCAGCTGATGATTAATTGTGAGTGATGGGAAATAAAATCCAGTAAAGCCAGCTGCTTGCCATGGTCGGCAAAATTACTATAATGGATATAGGCTGCCAATTTTCCAGTTTTACTGGCAAGTCTTCCAAGTGTAATTAAGGGAAGTTATAAATGATATGGAAATCTATCAAGTCCCATTTATTTTCAGAGGACTCTTTCC